CCCCCTACCCTTGATGGAAACCTTTTCCAAAAGTAGAGAACACTCTCTTTCTCCCCCAGTTGACCCTGCCGATTCCAGAATTTGATTACATTCCTGAAGTCGTTTTGTGGTACACGGTTCTAATCTCCCAGCAGCTCCACGTGAGACAGATGAGGCCCTCTGCTTCCCTACAGAGTTAGAGCCTGGGGACTCACAAGGGAGGGGCACTTGCACCCTCTCCTGCAGGGTCACGAGGAGTTGGCCTTGACCCAGAGACAGTGGGTTGGGTTTGGGTTTGGGTCAGGGATTGAAGCGTTCCAGGGTCCATGTGGGCCTTGGAGTGGGCAGCCCCCATGCCCGGTTGGTGAGGCCTTTAGTGAACATAGCATGGGGCATCCCGGTCCAGGGGTCTCCAGGGAGGTTTCCTGCAGGTGGGGCAGAGTACCTGACACAGGCCAGTAGGGTCAGGGACTCGCAGACCACAAGAGTGGACAGATGGCTCAAACTTGGGCTGAATGAGAGCTTGGACCACCCCAGTCTGACTTTCTGGAGCATCCCATCCCTGACTGTCTCACTGCGCGGCACGTGATTTCGCTGCACCGATGCTCAGTTTTCTCCTCTGTCCAGTGGACCTGGTGAGAGGCACCTGGCAGGGTTGGTGGCCATACTCATTCAGGCCAAGCTTGGTCAGTGGTTTGCCCATGCTGAAATCTCATTGCCACTGAGTTGATTTCAACTCTCCGGACAGAGTAGAACTGCCCCCATGGGGTTTCCGAGGCTGTATGCAATATGGCAGCCGACTGCCTCATCTTCCTCCCACGGATCCGTGCCCCAGCACCACCAGAGAGCCTTTGGCCCATGACACCATGGTCCAGAAATGGTATCAGGCAATGGGGAGCCGTAGACGGGCATTGAGCAGGGGTGGGACAGAGCCTTCTCTACTGGAAGGAATGCTCCCTCTGAGGTGGTGTGCGATGTGGGCTGGACTGGAGATGCTGGTGGCCCCCGGAGGAAGACTGGGATAAAAACCCAAGTGCAGCAGGTCAAGGGTCAAGTTGGAGCTGAGGTCAACAGAGAGGAGAGGAAGGGGGCAGGCAGAGAGGCATTGGCAGGAGAATGGCAACATGGGAACCAGTGGGCTGTGAAGAGGAGAGAGGAAGAGTCTGGTTTGGAGACAGGGGCGGGTGTGCAAGGGCCTAGTTCAGTGGTTCTCACCAGTGGGTTGTGACCCCTTTGGGGGTCACCCGATTCATAACAGTAGTAAAAGGACAGTGATGAAGCAGCAAGAAAAATAATTTATGGTTTGGGGGGGTCACCACCACAGGAGGAAATGTATGAAAGGGTCACGGCATTAGGAAGGTTGAGAACCACTGGCCTAACTCATATTCCAAACCAAACTCACTGCTCTGGAGTTATTGTGACCCTGCAGGAGAATTTAGGGAGGCTCTTTGGGTTTCCGAGGCTGTCAGTCAATACAGGAGCAGACAGCCTCATCTTTCTCTCAAGGAGCGGCTGGTGGGTTTGAACTGCTGACCTTGCAATTAGCAGGGTTCCTTAGCCTCAGTCTTGGGGCCCCAGAAGAAACCGAGCTGGGAACAGGCTGAAACTTGACCCTTCCCCCTTGTCCTAACCTCTGCCCTCTGCTCTCTGCAGGCCATCTGGACTCGATTCTTTCCAGCCTTAGAGGCTCTGAGGGCCATCCTGGCCCAGGGAACTCTGGGAGACCTTCGGGTGGCTCGAGCAGAGTTCGGGAAAGACCTTGTTACCATTATGCCCCGGGCCACCGACTGGGCACAGGCTGGCGGGGGCCTGCTGGACATTGGCATCTACTGCATCCAGTTCATTACCATGGTCTTCGGCAGGCAGAGGCCTGAGAAAATCTCCGCAGTTGGGAGGCACCATGAAACTGGTAAGGTCTACTCTGGACCACTGGGGAGTGAGGAGCCTGGGGGGTGGGCTGCTAACCAAAACATCCAAAGTTCACATCCAGCCAGGATGGCCTGGCGGTCTGCATCTAGACAGGTGGTCGGTGTGATTCCGACTCACAGTGACTCGAAGTGCACAACAGGAAACACTGCCCGGTCCTGAGCCACCATCACGGCTGCTGTGGGGGTGCGTCCATCGCTGCAGTCACTGCGCTCACGTTCACGTTCAGCTGTAGTATTAAATTTAAAAATTGAGGGGCGCTAGAGGAGGGGTGCCAGCCCCCACCCGTTGATACTCTCTACGAGTTCAGTAAGTACAACTTCTGGGTTCAGTAATGCACAATTGTACGGTTGAGATATATAAGCATTATATTAAAGTCATCGAGAGCATGAGAGATAATACAATAATACAGTCAGGCATGATACATAGCAACATTGCTCACCTCAGCCCAGCTTGGTGGTCCACGTGGAGAGAGGGGGAAGGGAAGGAGGAGAAGGGAACAAGGGAGAGGGGAGTGACCAGGGAGTGAGCAGCAAGGAGCTCAGAGTCAGAGAGAGAGATCTATATTGCTGACACACCTATATACCTTTTGTGGGCAAGCCAGCCCACTACTTACAGGTAGAGACATACGTCACAGGGAGGAGCTGCACTATAGGTTACACATCAATGAGAGGGTGGTCTAGGGGGTGGTCTCTGGATCTCCATAGGAACCATTATCAGTAGGGTGAAAACTCCGCCTACAGGAGCCTGTCCATTGTCCCCAGAGGCAGGGAGCAGGCCCACCCCTGTGGTGGGATGAGAGGGGGGGTGGGGGAATGCCTGCGCATCTGACCTCCCCACACACACGTTCAGCCTTCTCCTTGGAGGCCTTCACACAGTGGTTAGGCACTGGGCCACCGAGACAGTAGTTCGAAACCACCAGCCACTCCACAGGAGAAAGATGAGGCTTTCTACTCCTGTAAAGAGTTACAGTCTCAGAAACCCACAGGGGCAACTCCACCCTGTCCTATATGGTTGCGATCAGTTGGAATTGACTCAGTGGCACTGAGTTTGTTTTTTGGAGGGTTTGGGGGGTTTTTTTGGTACTCTGAAGAATATAGTCTATACCAATAAATCTGGATTAAACAAAAAAGAGATTACATCTAGAAAATCTAATAGGACAATTCCACTCTGTGATTCAATAGCAGGGTTTGTTCTGTTTTATTTTCTTTTGAAACAGCAAGGTTTTTTGCTGCAGGGTAGAGAAAGCTTTTAAACCTTGGTGTGTTAGTCCGGGTTGACCAGGGAAACCAATTCAGGGACACTTATATGTAGATATAAGAGAGAGTTTTATTTTTTTTATTATTATTTTTTTTATTTTTTAAGAGAGTTTTATATCAAGAAGTAATCACATATCAAAAGAACAGCCCAGTCCAACTTAAGTCCACAAGTCCCTCTTCAGACTCACACAGTCACGTGCAATGGTGCAGAATGCAGGAGGATCACAGGCCGTGGGTGCAGAGCCATGCGGATCCAGTGGCAGTGGTAACATCGCAGGGCTCTGAGAGCCATCAGGGTCAGCCAGCAGGACGGTGAAGGCAGAGAGCCAAGGGGAGGTTCCCAGGACCCTCCTTATGAGAAGGCCCCGCCCAGAAGGAGGCACCATCAGGCTGTGACAGGATTGACAGGTTGAATACCACGCCTACCCTTTTCTGTAGCTTCCAGTTGACTTGAAACTATGTAGCCACCATGCTGGGAAATGTAACCATCTGTTGAGTCTGGTGTGGTTAAGCACTCCCCTGCTAACTGAACTGTCCTCAGTCCAACTCCCCCCAGAGGTTCCCCTGCAGATAGGTCCTCTGCTTCCATGAAGATGCTCACCATGGACACCCCGGGGGGTGGGGGGCAGTTCTGCTCTGTCCTAGAGTTACTGTGAGTCGGAATCAACTTGCCAGCAACAGATAGTTGATAGTGTTGACATGGAGCTAGAAAATCTCAGGGGAGTCAGGTGAGACAGCTGGAGGAACGCCCCACACAAAGTTGTAGCGTATCAACTCTGTCTCATGGCTTTCTTTGTGCAACCTTGGCCCGGGCCCTCCTCATCTCTGAGCTTGTCTTTACTGGTGAAATGACAAGCACAGCGCTTCCATAAGGACTTCACGAAATGTCGTTGAGGCAAAGAGTAAGCAGTTAGTTTAAGAAACTTGCTCCATGTTGAAGCCGTCTCAGTGATAATGACCTAAACCTCGGTGACTTAAAAGATAATCATCAATTCCGAGCGTGTGCTTCTGTGGGTTGGTGATTGAGGCTGGGCTCAGCCTGACCGGTTCTCCTGCTGGACTCAGTCACAAAGCTGCAGTCAACTGGACGTTGGCTGGGACCGGATGGCCAAGGACTGCTTCGATCACATATCTTGGAGGGAGCAAGCTATTGCTTGGCGAGTCTTGGTTATAAATGTATATGAGGGGGTACCCCCCCCAAAAAAAAAGAAACCCGGAATTTCCCCCCCAAGGCTATGCATTTAAATTTTTTCACAAAACAACTTTATCACCTTCAAAGTCCTCTCCATGACACTTAGTACACTTGTCAAATCTGCAATTCCACTCTTGGAAACATTTTTCAAACTCATCCGTTTGGATGGCTGACAGCACCTCCCTTGCTTTTTTCTTCACCTCTTCTACCCTGTCAAATCGCTGTCCTTTCATGCCCCTCTGCATTCTCAGAAACAAAAAGAAGTTGCAGGGAGCGAGGTCAGGTGAGTCAGGTGAATGGGAGTGAAGTCAGGTGAGTCAAGTATGTAGGGCAAGAGAAGCATGCTGGTTTTTGCCAATCGTTGGTGCACTGAGATGGCTGCGTGAGCAGGGGCATTGTCGTGGAAGCAAAACCAGTCCCCCGTCTCCTACCCATCAGACCTTTTTTTGTCGCACACTGTTGCACAACCTTTTCAGAACCTCTAACCTGAACAGTCTGACCTGGTGGAATGAACTCCAAATACACTATCCCCCTCACATCCAAACAAACCAGCATCAGTTGTTTTTTTGGTGGGGTGGGGGGGTATCCCCTCGTATACTTTGTTTCTTTCTATGGGTGAAACACAGGTGAGCTCTCCTGTTTCCCCGGGGCAGGAGGTGAGCCCCTGAGCCCAGCCCAGCCCCTGAGCACTGCCTTCCTTCCAGGTGTGGATGACACAGTTACTGTCCTGCTACAGTACCCAGGAGGGGTCCACGGCAGCTTCACCTGCAGCATTACTGCCGAGCTGAACAACACGGCCTTTGTGAGCGGCACCAAGGGCAAGGCCCTGGTAAGATGGACAACCAGGGGCCGGGAATCAAGGTGCTCCACAAGGAGAGGGGGCTGTTTTCGGCTGACAGAGGGGCAAACAATGAATCCCTCCTTCTCATGAACCAGGCCCAGAGCGTCCTTTGGGGTTCCATGCGCCCACCTGCGGGTAAACGTTTTAGTTGTTCAAATACCTCTAGGTCAGAGGAGAAAGCAGTGCTCAATAACCATGCTTCCAAGGCAGTTAGGAGCCTGGAAGGAGCTTCCTGAGCAGTTCTGTTACCCAAGGTCACCTTCATGGGCCCTCCCAGGGCCCTCTTGCTACAAAGAAATACTGTAATATTGTAGCAAGCCCTAGGGGATTCTGCAGCCAGGACTGCACACGGAGTTGGGCCTTGCTTGATGTTCTGGGAGACCTAAATCCCTTAAGGCAGTGGTTCGCAACTTTTGTAATGCCGCGACCCTTTCATACAGTTCCTCGTGTGGTGGTGACCCCCCAACCATAAAATGATTTTCGTTGCTGCTTCATCATTGTCATTTTGCTACTATTATGAACCATCATGTGAAGGATGTATTTTCATGGTTAAAATCAAACAATTTTTTTAAAAAATCAAACAAAATTAAACAAAATGAAAGCCTAGTGACTCGTCACAAAACAAGATGTAATTATAGATCGTGAAATATGTATGTGTTTTCTGATGGTCTTAGGCGCCCTGTGAAAGGGGTCGCGACCCACAGGTTGAGAACCACTGCCTTGGGTCTTGTTTCTCTGGAGGAAAGGGGATCGTACTTCCGTTCCCCGTTTGAGCCAAGGCTGGGTTGTGGGGGTAGCTTAGGCTTCCCAAGAAGGTTCTCTGGCGATAGTCACCACTGTCTTCTAGTCAGAGGATAGGGCTGGGGTGCCTGGGCATCCTCCCTAAGGAGCTTCACCCAGGCACCCAAGGAAGCCACTGAGTCATGCACAGTCACACACCCGACTACCAGCTAACTGACAGGTGACCGGTTTGGACTCCTCTCAGAGAGACGGCTCAGAAGACCGGCCTGACAATCTGCCCGGAATGCCCTATGGAGCAGTACTAAACTGCCCCCAGGCATGCCCTTGGGTGGGCACCAGTGGGGGTATCCATTCCACCGCACATAGCAACAGAAGCGACAACAGCAACAAGTACGTCTCTTGTCAGGTCGTCTTGTTGTTGGGGTGCCCTCAAGTTGGGGGGGGGCCCTCACAGTGACCCCCGTGTAACAAGACAAAAGCTCCAGACGTGCGTGGCTGCGCTCCGAAAAGTTGGCAGTTCGAAATGACCAGCAGCTCCTCCTCGGGAGAAAAAACAGCTTTCTACTCCCCTCAATGGCTCCCAGTGTTGGAAACTCACAGAGGCTGGTCCACCCTGTCCTCCAGGGTCGCTGAGTGGAGTGGGCATTGGCTCCATGGCAACCACATGTTTTGCTTATTGGTGTAGGGTAATAATGACCCAGAGGCAGCGTTTTTTATGAGGTTTTTTAAAAATCATTTTATCGGATGCTCATACAACCCTTATCACCATCCATCCATCCATTGTGTCAAGTACATTTGTACATTTGTTGCCACGATCATTCTCAAAATATTTGCTCTCCACTTAAGCCCTTGGTATCAGCTCCTCATTTTCCTGCCCTCCCTCCCCGCACCCCTCCCTCATGACCCCTTGATAATTTATAAATTATTTTGTCATGTCTTACACTGTCCAACGTCTTCCTTCACCCACTTTTCTGTTGTCTGTCCCCCAGGGAGAAGGTTATATGTAGATCCTTGTAATCAGTTCCCCCTTTCTACTCCACCTTCCCTCCACCCTCCTGGTATCGCCACTCTCACCACTGGTCCTGAAGGGATCATCCATCCTGGATTCCCTGTGTTTCCTGTTCCTATCTGTACCAGTGTACATCCTCTCGTCTAGCGGGATTTGTAAGGTAGAATTGGGATCATGATAGTGGGGGGGAAGAAGCATTTAAGAACTAGAGGAGGGCTTAAGTGGAGAGCAAATGTTTTGAGAATGATGAGGGAAATGAATGTAAAAATGTCCTTTACACAATTGATGTTTGTATGGATTGTGATAAGAGTTGTATGAACCCCTAATAAAATGATTTAAAAGCAAATAAATAAATAAACGAATAAATAAACAGTCAAAAACAAAGGAGAACTAGGGTAAAGTTGTATGTTTCCTCTGTGCTATACTGCACCCTGCCTGGTTCGTCTCCTCCCTACGACCCTTCTGTAAGGGAGTGTCCCATGTTTTTTTAATGGCAATGATTACCAGGTCTTTCTTCTGCAGACCTCCCCAGGTGAGTTCTAACCACCAATTTAGGGGGATAAGCATCCCAGTGCTTCACCACGCTGCCCCCAGGGCTAATCTTTATTTATTTGTTTGTTAATTAAAAATCCTTTTATTGGGCACTCTCACAGCCCTTATCACAATCTATACACAGTTGTATCAAGCATATTCGTACCTAGGCTGCCATCATTATTTTCTAGACATTTACTTTCTATTTTTTAATCATTTTCTTGTGGGCTCATACAACTCTTACCATAATCGATATACCCATCTATTGTGTCAAGCACATTTGTACATTTGTTGCCATCTTCATTCTCAAAACATTTTCTTTCTATTGAGCCCTTGATATCAGCTCCTCTTTTTACCCTCCCTCTCTCCAAGCCCCCCACCGTGACCCCTTGATAAATGATAATTATTTTCATATAGGGTGAATGTTTAGCTATGGGGTTAGAAAAGAATGTGCCCTGGGGGAGGCAGACAGACCGAAGGATTCCTGTCAGACACCCTGGTGGATGAGGAATGCATGTAGTCCTCCTATCCACCGGTGAAGGACCTCGCTGGGGTTGGATGGGAGCAGGTGTGGGAGGGGCCCCCCTGATGTCACCAGGTACCCCGGTTCATGAGGGGTCCCCCTCAGTTTGAGGATTTTTTTTTAGTCAGTCACTTTATTGGGGGGTGATGGGGGCTCTCACAAATCAGTTTGAGGTTCTTACCTCCCCGCAGATCCCCGAGCCTTGCTGGTGTCCAACTGAGCTGGTGGTGAAGGGAGAGCACCAGGTGTTCCCACTGCCCCCTATTCCCGAGAAGTTCAACTTTATCAATGGGGCGGGCATGATTTATGAGGTTCAGCATGTCAGAGAGTGCCTGCGCAAGGGTAAGTAAGTGGGGGGTGGGAGACATGGGTGGGGGGTTGGGGACGGGACCCCCTCCCCACTGCCTCAGTGGCTCAGTGAGTTCTTTTGGAACTGCATCTCCCAGCAACCTCTGGGGCACCCATCCGCCTGAGCCTCACCTTGCTGTGTCTCAGGGGTTTGGGGGAATGGTAGTTCTTTGTTCTCCTGGCAGAGGGAAGTGGTATATGGCTGGGGGGTGGGGAGGGGGGAATCCCTGACAGAAGGATCCCCTAGGCCTGAAGGAGAGCCCCGTGATCCCCTTGGTGGAGAGTGAGCTCCTGGCTGAAATTCTGGAGGAGATAAGAAGATCTATTGGCATCACCTTCCCCCAGGATAAACGTTGATGCCAATCCTGAATCAATAAAGACACGGCTCCCGTGTGATTGTGACTCTGCCGGTTTATTGAGAGCTGGAGGGGAGCTCACCATGAAAAGGGTGAGGATATTTGGAGAAGGAGCTTATGGGAAGGACAAGACTACCTTTCCCACAAGCTCCGGGGTTTGTCGGCCTCAGCCTCTCTGACCTTTGACACCCATTATCTTAGAAATTAATGCCTCATTAGTTCTCAACCTTCCTAATGCCCCGACCCTTTCATACAGTTCCTCATGTGGTGGTGACCCCCCCGCCCAACCATAACATTATTTTCGTTGCTGCTTCATCACTGTCATTTTGAGACTGTTATGAATCAGGTGACCCCTGTGAAAGGGTCGTTTGAACCCCCCAAAGGGGTCACGACCCACAGGTTGAGAACTGCTGCTTCAGAGGATCACCCCCCCCACCCCCACCCCACCCCCGCTATGTTTCTGGGTTCCTGAAAAATCCATCCTGCTTCCCTTACCGGCCAACACCTCATTGAATTCAGCGATGGAAGTTTGGTTGTTGCTTCTGGAAAAACTTGAGAAGGATTGGCGTTTTTCGTTAAATGTTTGGTAGCACTCACCAGCTGAGGCCATCTGGGCCTGGTGCTTTCTGTTTCGGAAGGGGGTTCACGGTGGGCCCCAATTTACTTCACAGACAGTAGTCTGTTAGAGGATCCATTTCTCCCTGTATACATTTTGGTTGGCTATCTTTCTCAAGGAATGAGCCTGTTCCACCCAGATGCTCCACCCAGGTACTCCAAGGATGGTTTCTGGTTTCCCTTTTCTTCCATTTTATTTGGTTGTTGTTGAGAATCAGCACGTCGGAACAGACACCCGCCCAGCCCTTCCTCCAGGTGCTGCTCCATGGTCTTCAAGTTGCACAACCGTCCTCACCTGCCTTTTCCGAAGTGTCCCTCCCCTGTTAAAATAAACTCACTAAGCTTTGTGGCCAAGCTTCCCAGTTGGCAGTGTCCATTTGATCCCATACAAACAGTTCTTAAGAGAGCTTAGTGCTCTCTTTCCTACCTGCCTGAACTACTATTTGGTTCAAGGAAGATGAAAGGGTGTCCATATATATTTTTTTGTGTTAGATTCAAAGATTACCTCAGGGAAGTTGTTTCAGTGGTTCATCCACCCTCGTGGCTCCAGGGAAAATGTAGACTCCGGAAGCTGTCCAATTTCTAACCTGCACTATCCCCCTTTTGATTGGGATTCAGCTATAGAATTTTTGATCAACACACTCAATAATGAGAGTGCAGCAGCATCCGGTTCTCCTGGTCTGGTGGCCAAGGAGGCAATTAGGCACCCATTCCATGTCCTCCTCCAGTTCCTGGCTCTCCGTCCTCTGTCGCTCCAGGGGTTATAAAGGCCAGTGGTGTTCATTCTTTAAATGATGGGTTGAATTCACCAGTGAAGTCAGCAGCACCTGGTGCTTTCTTCTTTAGGAAAGGTATTGACTTTGGATCTAAACTGGATAATAGACATTTAAAAAACAAACCAAAACAGACTCTCTGCCACTGAGTCGAGTTTCCAAGACTGTAAGTGTTTACTGGGAGTAGAAAACCCCATTAAAAAATCATTTTATTGGGGGCTCATACGACTCTTATCACAATATCACAATCCATACATACATCAGTTGTGTAAAGCACATTTGTACATTCATTGCCCTCAGCATTCTCAAGATATTTGCTCTCCACTGAAGCCCCCGGCATCAGCTCCTCATTTTTTTTTTAAGCCTCAGCTTTCTCCCAGGGAGCAGCTGGTGGTTTCAAACTGCTGACTTTGCAGATAACAGCCCAGTGTGGAACCATTATAGCACCAGGGCTCCTGTAATAGGCATTATTGGCCTATTAAATGATCTATTTCTCCTCCCATGAGTTTTAGAAGGTTGTGTTTTTTTAACGAATTGGCCCGGGCCATGGAGGAAAGGCCCCAGATGGCAGGTGGACTTTCACGTCTGCAGGGTTCCCTGGCACAGAGCATGGTGTGGGTGCCATTGAACTCAGTGGCCACGCTTTTTATTAAAAAAAACTTACACTTTAGAAAAAAAGAATCTTTTGGACTGCCAGGAAGATGGCGATGGAGGAACACATACCAGAGGGATTCCGCAGAATTCAGGCCAGGAGAGTTGCTTAGAGGGAATGTGTTAGACAGAGTTCTCTAGAGAGATAAAAGCAAATTGCTGATAATTTAATACATTTATTTATAAAGATAATTAGATATATAACAAGAAATGAACTATTTGACTCACTCACTCACTCTCTCACTCACTCACTCACTCACTCTATCTCATTCACTCACTCACTCACTCACTCTCTCACTCATTCACTCTCTCACTCATTCACTCTCTCACTCACTCACTCACTCTCTCACTCACTCACACACACAAAAAGAAATGAACTATTAAATCATATACAGATAAATATATAATACAAGAAAGAAACAGTTAAATTATAAAGCACTACAAATGGCTCAATGCAACTCACTGCCATGAGAG